TCCTGTTGAATTGTTCACTCAGGGATTCATTGCAGAATTAAAACCAGCTTGAAATGGTATCTTGGTCTGTTACTCCTTTTTATTTTAGTTTGTCTTACCTTGTAGGTGGTTGTTCTGTTAAGTAACTTGAAAAATAACCATAATAACCGACATGAAAAAATATCGTGATATATATCGTCTATCGTGATACTGCTTGAAAAATATCGTGATAATATATTTTTCAATATCGCCCACCCCTACATCAAACCATGTTCTCATCTCAGCAAAACTCTTTCTAGTTAAGTCTTAAAGTTGAAGACTTCTCATAAATGACTTAAAGTAACCTGTCAGTGGCAGAAAGTTAAATTTGAGTCAGGTGAGCAACACATGCAAACATCATTCTTCTTATTAGGCAGCCTAACACTATTTGAGTGGGTGCAGTTAGTCATGTGAAGACAATTTATACATTATCTATCAGGTCCAAATGACTATACAGCACAACTGTTGTTATACTTGTAGACATGATGGCCCAATACCGAAATGATTTGCTGTAAAACTGGTATTTACTCTGTAGACGCTGGCCCTTAGCATTACTCATTGTGGTGTGTTCAAGTGCAACTTTGAAGAGATGTGAGGCATTTAAGGAGTTTGATCAGCAGACCATTATCAGAGGTATATCTTGGAGGTGAACTTGGTTTGTAAGAGCGCTGAGAGCACACGATACAATACAAAGAGACCTGGACAGAAAAACAAATGCTCAGAATTCTAACCTGCAGGATAAAGATGTTCTCAACTCGTGTTAAGATTATTGATTTGGCAAAACCAATGATGGCTTGAAGGTACATGAACTTTCACAGAGTTCAAAACCTCTCTGGGGCAACTCTGGGTTTGAAGTTATTGTATTTAAAGTACCATGGAATTTTTTAGATATAGAAAGATATATATATAGCCTATATCTGGTGATATATGGTTATTTCAGGTGCACATATGACAGTATATGTGAGCCGATTTCTTTTTAGAAAAAGCAGCACAACTATATACACAGTATATATATATAGATTGATATATCCAGACATGTTTGAGGTGAAAGTAACATCACTTTGTCCATCAGAGAGAACTATTATCAATTTAAAATTGTCCTAGCCAGTTCATATCATGGTCACAATTATTTAAAAAAAAGTTTTGCATATGTAGTGTAGTGTATTCTTTTTGGAGATTGATTCTTTCCTTTTTTGTTTACAAAATCTCCTGAAAGATGAGCAGTATCAACATTTATCCCAATCGAAAAAATAAGACTAAATTGTTTGTAATAAGGTTAAACATATGTTAAACCGTGCTGACCACAAGATGAACTGTACGTCCTACTGATGTATAAGAAAACACAACAACAATGTGGTCTACATTTTTAGATAATAACACTGATCATTACAAATGCCGTAGCATAAATGAAGATACTGCACTGAGTCAATTAAAAGACAGGTAGTCTGCATTGTACCGCACCAAAACACATTGTGTGTGTATGGTTGTGTTGTAAGAAACAAGTCTGATTGAGTCAACTCACCGCCTGCATACATGGCAGCTAGCATGATGGAGGAAATCCATGCTATTTCACTGTAGCTGGCCCCTAAATTCTCCTGTATCTCTTTGTAGAAAATGGCTAGCACTTTGGGAGTGGAGTATGCAAATCCTATGGAAATGTGAGCACCGACAACAACCACCCAGCCCCAACCTCCATCCAGGGGCTTGCGGCCCAACTCATCTGCTGGAGCAGGGGACATGTTCCTGTTCAAGGAGAGGAAAACACACATGAAGTGTTTATTATTAAAACAACCAAATATAGGCTGTACCTTGAAAAAAAAAGTTGAATATTTGAATGCAGAATTGATCCCTTTGCCTTAACTATTCACTCTGCAAACACAACTGTGTTGCCGAATTTCAAAATAAAAGATCGGCTTGATGGCAAATAAACAGCAAGCATGTGACAGTGTGTCCAAACAATACACTAAACACGTTAACTAACAATATAGGCATATGACAAGTACATTTAGGTGACTGTGAAACGTTTGTTTAAATAAATGTGAAAACGCCGGTCATTCATATGATCATTTACTTACTGCGCCTTTAAATTAGAATGTTTAGTAAATGCTCCCTTAATGGCGAATACAGAGCTAGGATGTGACAGTGTGCAAAATAATGAGTCACAACGTTGACAAAAGAGTAACTTAAGTCTGTTAAAAGCAGTTTAAAACTGAAGTTTTCAGTCGTGTGTGTCTAGTGGTGAAACAGGCAGATAGCATCCAAAGTTACGTCAGATATTTGACTGAATTCACAAAGTTAATATATAACAAAGAATTTAAGCGAGACACGCTACGTTGCCCCTTTGTCCTCCTAACGAGCTTTTCCTCCAAAAGCTGTAACACAACAAGGTGTCAAGGCAAACAAAAAATATAAGTTTCCAATGAAAGAAAGTATCGTGTGTAGTCGCACAGGAGGAAATACTCACACACGTGGACAATGAGCGAAATCAACGATAACAGTCACTGCTGCTTTAAACTTAAGACTTTTAAAGAACTAAACACTGACACGCGAATACACATGTTTAAAATACGTTACCTTTGAATAAGCGTCTCTGTTTCAACAGCGTTCTTTATACATCCATGGTTTCAACCTCCTCCTGCCTTATTTGAAGTGTCGTCACGTGTCACACTGATGGCCCGGGGGCTTCCTCGCAGTTTTGACTAGTTTCATTAGTAGCTTTGACTCCTCTGCATGTCCTCAATCATAAATGTCACACCGCTGGGCCTGACCTTGTTACAGCATCTTTGTCTATATAGTTTACAGTGTGGAGACTCTAGTTCTCACATAACACATCTCTAGTTGTGACTTGGGTTAGACAAAAACAATTGTGTGCGAAAGAAGAAAATAGGTGCGAGAAAAAAGGAACACATTTCACTTTTAATAGTTTTATTTTCAAATGATGTGCAATGTGAATTTCACAGTTGAGCTCAACCACCACTATAACCCCGAACCCGGAAACATACAAACCAGCAAAGAAAAAGCATGAGCACAATGGCATAGCACCCTTAAGTGATGCGTGTAATGACCAAAATGAGCCATGTATAACTTTTGAACACAGAAAGCAGTTTTTAGCTTGTTGTATTACATGACTGGTGTTTGAAAACGTGACGTAACATTGGAGTTACGCGATCTGTAATGCTTAGTTTCGGTGAGATGTTACAAAGAAATACTACTGTACTACTGAGGGGAGGAAATCAAAATGCATCACTCGTGCGGGTTATCAATTTTTCTCAACAGAGCAGGATTACTCTACTATAACTAAATAGGTAAACACATAAAGAAAGAAAAAGAAAACAGCCACTGAAGACAACAAAAAGAAAAAATCACATCTATTTTTTTTCAAGTTATAAAAGAAAACTGAAGAGAAGTTTTAAAAAACTGTGCAAGTACAGCAAACCTATAGTACAGTATATTACACATAACAAAAACATTTAAATACAGTACTGTGTATCAGTAGAAATCCTGAGAGTTCTCCGTTTCTGGTTCTCAAATGGCTGTCTGTAGACATGTGGATGTGGCTGTTTAGAGAGCATTGTTCGAGCCAGGTCAATTTAAAATGAGCTCCAAGTCAGTCAAAACCGTGGATCTTCTCTTGGAGAAGTCATATCCTCAAGTCCTTAACGAGTGTGACTCTTCTGGTCTTAATTTCCATGTAAATCTCTTAGATGATTGCTATGTGGTTATTCAAACATTTTTCGTGAGAGGGGTTCTTTTTCGCTAAGATAAAATACAGGAGAAATGTGTAGTGCAAAGATGACACAGGAACCTGCATGAGGAAATTGACGGCACTGAAAAATGTCACACTTTCACAGGGAACGCCACTCAGTGGTGGTATTAATTCTTCTATACAAGATTGTCAAAAAAAAAAAAAAAAAGCAGCACCAACAATTTTGTGTCCTCGGTGTGATGGCGTGTGAAGACGGATTCATGGCTCTTGGATGAATTAGCACACGACCCGAGAGCAACCCTCGCTTTTTCATAGTCTGCTTGTTCGGGAGGGTGCTCCGGAGAGTCTGCAGTGAAGGACCGCTGAAGTGGAGAGTGATTCAGTGCAATGCTGAGTAAGACTGTTGAGATATTCTTCATCACAAGGAGCAGTTTTTGATACTGTTCCCCCCTCTTCTTCTTTTTTAAGCCACAGGCACATTGGCATCCGAAATAATCTGCACTAAATTACACATCACTTCAAGCCTGCAACAGCCACACAATCATTGGAACTACTGTGATTTTTCACGAGCAGACAAGCACACAAAACAATTAATGCACTTTTACTAAGGTAATATAATGTAATATAGCCTAAGCACAGTTCCATGACTTATTGCTACCACACAATTATTTTCAATGTCCAGATCAACTATAACAAGACCTCAAATGCTTGTTTTAACATTTAAGAGGAAGGTTCTTTTAACCTTTTTCCAATGATTATAATCCAATGTTGAAAAACAACCTCAACAGAGCTCAATGCTCCACTGAGCTTTTCACAGTTGCTTCATCAACACTATAGCCTTACATGTCCCTTTTCTCCTAATCAAACACATCTGAAGTTTCTGAGGTAAGCCTGTTAGTTGGTCTGAACGTTCCACTTAGTGTTGCCACAATTTGACTCCGTCCTTATTTCTCCAATGTGGAGAGTGAGTATCCTAACATTTCACTTAAGTTGTCTTCGCATGTGACACAGAATGGATGCCAACTTAAAGAGAGGGAGGTTATGAGCCCCCATGCAACTGGAATCTCAAACAAAACTTAAAAATAGCTCGGAAGCCACACATAGTGTATTGTTTGACACAGTTGTTGTGAAGGAACAGGGGGGCTTTAAAAAAAATGTCATACAAGCTTCAAAAACACAAAGGTAATGTAAATCACAAGAACACTTCAAATTAAAACTAGTCTATAAAATAAGCTGAAAAGACTTGAGAACAGAAAAAAACAAACACACACACAAACCTCAGAGCCAGCAACCTACTAATGAGCTATGGTGATCATCTTACCCGTATGAATATATAGTTTATATAGTTATTTATATATATAGATTTTCACTTTATGCTGACATGTAGCATCCACATCTCCAGAGGGCACTTTTATCTTGCCAATACCCTCATTTGCATGCTTATCATTTGTAAAAATCCTTACCTATATCCATCTAAAACAAAAAATAGAACATGGCTCAACAACAAGCAAAAAATATGATAATTGCACTTATGATTCATTGTATTGTTTTTTAAACAAGCATCCATGTAGGGTAGTTGGTGCCGTCTGAAAAAAAAGAAATACTGCAATCTTTAAAAGCACCCCCAGTTTGATCATGTTAAACCAAAGTTTGAAAGACTTAAGACGTAACCAAAAAATGGTCCTTGTGGTGCAAACCCAAGGAAACACCAGGCACAAGGCAGGCAGGACCACACATCTCCCTCTGCCTCAGAGATTGGGGTTCACAAATCCAGTGACCTCAAAGCACTTTCTGGAGACATTGTGGGTACAGTTTGCCCACCACACATTCAAAATGGCGGCCCAAATCCCAAAGGCGGTCGGGCGTCTCATAGACTTTGGTCCATGCGTCTGCCTCGTCGTCGTCGTCGTCATGGTACTGGTAAAGGGAGTTCTTGCGGCTGGTGCGAAACACGTGCTCTTCCACCATGACCTGTGTGGCCCGGACGAACAGGTGCAGCCTGCCCTGCAGCAGCATGGCCTTTATATACGGGCTGGTGGCTTGGTCAAAGGGCAGATCTTTCTTACGGCTCCATGTGCTCTTCTCGATGTCGTAGACCTCCACGGTGAAGGTGCGCTGGTGGTTCTTGCAGATGCCGGCGATGTAGTAGATACAGTTCTTATGCAAGGCAGCCAGACCCTGACTCCGAGGGACGCTCATCGGGGCGAGGTGACTCCAATAGTCCTTACGGGGATCGAAGCAGAAGAAATACTCCCCTGAAAAAAAAGGAAAGGTGTTATTTAGAGATGTGTTCAATTGGTTTAATAAAAAGGGAAACTTCTTCTCATTCAACAATACATATTTGAACTTCTACATTTAGTGCTATTTATCAAAGCTTGATTGTTTTGGGGTGAGTTTTGGAAATACTAATACACAGGTTTGCCTTCTCTCGCATATACGTTGTCCACAGACCTTGTTTAAGCCCATTATGTAGGGACTATTTTCTTTTTAAAAGAAATTGCTCACCATATTAATTAATTTTTAATTAATTTCAAAAATGTCTGTGGGTTATCTTGAGTAACAGAGTCATGATATCCGGAAAGACACATGCTATTACGTTTTTTCCCCAAAAAAAATAATGGCATTCTAGTTACAATTATATTCCAGAGAAGGCAGACATCCCTAAAACTGATATATCCAACACACAGAAAAAAGTTATAAAAATAAACCTTCTGATTTTGATTCAAACACTCTCTCCAACATACTTTCTCTTAAATCTTTTTCATATAAGATTTAAATACTGTACATATTTTCTGAACTTTTAAATTAATGAGAAATATGAAATTACCAAATTGTCTTGAGCGCCCTGTAGAGATCATATAGTTTCACATGTGCAGCATGGACTCACCTTGGAGGACATAGATGCGGTCCCTGTACTCCACAGCACTGTGAAACTCCATGGCCGCGGGCATAGCACTCACTGCTGTCCAACAGTTGTCTCTGGCATCATAGCACTCGACTGACTTTAAAGCATTTCGTCCATCGCCTTCATATACTCGGCCTCCCAGTGCATAAAGCTTCCCACAGCAGAGCAAAAGCCTGCATCCGATCCTGGCCCTCAGCAGCGGAGCGCGTGAAAGCCATCGGTTGCCCGCGTGTTCGTACTGCCAGAAGTCGCTCTCTGCCCGATGATCTATGGACACTTCGCTGTTGCTCGGCCTGTAACCTCCAGCGATGAAGATGTCGTTCTCTGAAGACACCAAGATACCGACCTCCCGGAGATCATTGGGGGGTTTGCAGAGCTTGAACACCCGTCCTGTGGTTGTGTCAAGGCAAGGCACTGTCTGCTTCTTCCCTGAGTGTTTGTGAGCGGCATCAAAGCAGATGACCATCTCAGAAGCAGTCATACCCAGGCGCTGCGGGCAACCATTGGTGCCAGTCAGGCGGGTTTTGGCCTCAGCAGGGTCGGTAGACAGGGATAGGGCACAGGCGAAGGGGGCAGGTACCTGACTTAGGAAGGCCTCATCCAGCAAGGGCAGACGGATGCATTCGGTAAACACCTCAGCGAGGGAGGCCTGACGACCAGAAAGATCATGCTCCAGCCAGCGAATTATGCTCTCATAAACGTGCTCTTCTTTCTCCACGTTGAGGTCATCATTGTTCAAAATGCTGACCAGCTGCTCCTTGTTCATCTGGAGGAACTCTTGCTCCCATGACACACACAAGAACTACGACAATAAAAAAAAAAAGTTTCAGTGTTTAGCATCCAAACAGACTCATAAGAGAAAGCATGACTACATGAACAGGGGAAGTAGACATTTAATGACAATACTAATAACTGGGGATGGGCACAGACACCAGGTCTTAAATGGGCCTTAGAGCTAAATGATTTAACGCAGTATTTTGTATAACTTTATCGTTACAGGTTTTTTAATCTGTACTTTGTCTGGGTAATAAATTAGGGATGCACCGAATATTCGGCCGCCGAAAATTATCGGCCGAAAATGGTTAAAAAGGCTCTTTCGGCTTTCGTCCGAAAGGGTTTTAGCACCGAAAAAATATTACCGAATGTCAGGGAACAGGGTTACGTTGGTAAGCTAACGTGTTGTTGTGATGACGTAATCAAAACGCGGCGACAAGCACGGCGCGCGACCATGCTCGCGGCTGGCTCACAGCCAACATGTGCCGCTTGGAGATATTTAAAAATATCAGAGAAAGAGGCGCGGATTGCGATTTGTAAAACGTGTTTAGCTGACATTTCTCGAAGGGGTGTAACTGCAAAGACTTTCACCACTTCGGGATTACTCCACCACTTGAAATCAAAACACCCGGACAAATATGCGGAGTAAGATCAAATCACAAGCACTGATAGCGAGAGACTGTTCAGCGCTGCCTCTCATGTGCTTGATGAGAAGAGGAACAGACTTATGGCTGATAAAGCAGAGAAGCTACTGTTCATTAAAAAGAACCTCCCACTTTTCCTTAATAAGTAGACGAGGCTGGCTTATCATAAGCTTACTATCTAGCTTCCTACATGTCTACTCTAATTCACCCACTTTCCTGACAAATTTTTCATTGTGGAGTCTATAATTTCACCGATCTCAGGTTATCATTTTTTTTACAAAAACGGGGAAATGACCAGCAGCACAGTGGCTTCAATATATTGTACTTTCGGCTATCTTAAATGATACAATGTTTGTTTACATTGCTCATGGAGGACAAGACCCACCTTATTTGCAGATTCTTTGAATTGTAATGTAATTTGTAATTGAGATTAATAATAAGAATAGATAATAATAATAGATTTAATTTGTTTAGTGCTTTCTTTCTTCTACAGGGTGCTCAAAGGACGCTTGATTTGCTGGAATTTTGTAATACTCCAGGTTTCACTTTATGTTATCTTTATACAAATGTTTTACTACTGGCCTTATGGAGGACAGCCTCTATTACAGATTCTTGAAAGAAAGTGATATCTGTATTTTTTTTTATTTCATTTGCGTAAATTAGTACATTCATGTGGCGATTTATCCAGGTTTTGCACATTTGCTATGCATGCAGCTTAGGCCTGCATTTGTTGGTTGTTGAGGGGCCTGGCTCGTTTACGAGTCTGTATTTACACTATTTTGTTGCAGGCCTACTGGCCTAGATGTTTATGCACCTTTGGCCTTGTTCTGAATGCACTTTGTAGTATCCTACAGAGAAAATGCACTTGGACTTGGAATGATGTTTACTGTTATGCCATTTTCAAAAGTGACTGAATAAACTGGTTTTAATGGACCGAATAATAGTGAAATTACTAGCTTAAGTTAAGTTAAGTTAAGTTAAGTAAGCTTTAAGTTAAGTTGAAGTTAAGTTAAGTTAAGTAAGTTAAGTTAGTTAAGGTTAAGTTAAGTTAAGCTTAAGCTTAAGTTAGTTAAGTTTAAGGTTAAGTTAAGTTAAGTTAAGTTAAGTTAAGTTTTGGCCATAATCATGTCTGTTTTCCACGAATCAGGGCGCCTGAACAACATTGGGTAAAAAATGTATACATCGTGATTAGTAATTATATATATCATATATTTCTAATTAATCATTTTCGGCGCCTTTCGGCATTCAGGTTTTTTCTGCCAACTGTTCCTATTTCGGTATCGGTTCGGCCAAAGAATTTCTCCCATTCGGATGCACCCCTAGGCAACCCCTATAATAAATGACACCAAAACTCCAGTCGTTCTCTTCTACATTGGGGATCTTTGGTTGTTTTGGTCAAAAATGACTGTTGCCACAAATGTTGCTTTTATATCAAAATGATACTTAAATAAATTATTGTCCTGCTTCTGGAAGTTGATTCTTGTTTCAAAAAACTATTTTAGAACTGAAAAAAGAACAGAATAAGAATATTGATAAATAAACCAATATTGACGGGATTAAGGAGTACCTGCGTTGGTAAGAATTAATGACTAACGACTTAGGGTGTCACTTGGCTTATGTATTCGCTAACGGAAATATTCGGTACGGGCCCTTCGGTTCGGCGCCATACACGGTGTTACCGCAGTGCCTACCGAACGAATTATAACGTTAACGTAAAAAATGGAGAACGTGAACAACTTTTTTGCGTAAGTAAACTCGGAGCTGCCGTCGCTTAGTTATATCAGGAGTTCAGTGCTCACATTGGGTTCAACGCGTCACTAACAGAAAGGGTAATTTCATTGGACTGAGAGGCACACTTAATGAGAGTTGTCACAGAGGATGCCCGGGTTCAAATTTGAGTCAGTAATTTGAGAACTGTCGAAATGGCCGAAACGCAGAGAAAGTGGAGCTCGAAAATCTCCAGATCGTGAAGTCTCCGCGCGTTTGGGAACATGTTGGTTTCGCCAGTTACGCTACATAGGATAACGGGTACAAAGACAGGTGGACGAACCAAAGGGCCGTTTGTCGGCATCTGTTAGACAACTAAAATTGGCTTACGCGGCTGGGCCCAATACATTAGAGAGATTAAAACAGAACTTGACACTCATTTGAAAGCATCACCCGAACGTGAATATCACCGGTAGCCAAATAAAAATGATAAAGTGTAAACCCACTCGCCGCTAGCAGTTTAAGCCTCCACCACTCGCAAAAAGTTCAGACCGACCAAAGCTATTACAAACGCCAAATATGCCTTGTATGGTTGCCATGTTAGCAAAGCGCTACCTGGCTGTCATCTGCGTACTGTTATGTCCCTTAGAGGGGGGTGTTCTCCACGGCAGGAGACATTGTTAGTGCCAGCAGATCTGCCCTTCGGCCAAGCAATGTGACAAGTTCAGTTCTTCTTTAAAAAACATAATCAAGCTTAGCTAAGTCAGCTGGCCTGTTTAGGCGATTACTATTACAGTACTAGTTCAAGTTGGAGATTATTCTCAGGCTCATCGAAATGCTGCCCCTTACAGAGCCTGCTGACAGCATTCACCAGACAACTGTTGTGCAATGAACATATTGCGGCTACTGAGGTCATCGTACGAACCGTCAGTTTGAAAAAGAAAAGTTGCGCATTACTGTTCCCGATAAATATAATAATTTCGAACGAGTTTTTGGAGGGGCCGAAAAAAAATTTCCTTTCGAACTCATTTTGAAGCTTTTTGGGGGGAAGCCGGATGAGGGACGTCAATGCGGGAACGCTTCACTGTGCGGTGCGAGAGAGGCCAACACGGACAGAAGTGTGTTGTCCGATGCGGTAGAGATGCGTGAATTTTACTGAGTTGTTAGGCACGTTTTATGAAAGTTGATACTTAACAGGTAGTTTCATATTTGTCAGGTGCTTTCTGCTCACATTCGGCGAACATAGAACTAACATTGATTGTGGTGATGGTGAGATGATGATTTAAATTAGGATTGAGAGATCGCGGTAGGCGAGACTGCTGAGATTTCCCTCCCGGTTCGGAATCGTGATATTAAAAAAGCAAATCGTTATTTTCTTGTAGCTTATCAACTCAAGGTGGATGAAACTACAGTTTATTGCTTTCATGTCAATTCGGCGAAACTAATGATACATTAAATTATCCGCTCGAGGGTATGGGATCGATTTAAAATTGTTTGTTTGCAGCCGTCTGCATGTTCCTATGAAAAACAAACCGGTATGCTTTTGGTAGTTGGAGTTACACCAAGATGGATTAAAGATGGTGGGTTTCTTTACCACAATGGCTTGC